TTCAAAAACTTTGGTGATATAGGGTGCAGATTTGTGTTTTTTGAGAAATTTTTACCCAAAACGTAAATAAGACTACGAAAATTGCTAAAACATTCAACACGCGATGCCATAAAAGTACGCCTTAGTTAACGTTCATAACGTATACGCATCTAATTAGATTTTTTTTTAAATTCAGTTGTTGCAAATTTGGTTTTGAATTTCTAATTACACTACTTATGCGTCATAAATAATCTAAAATTCTAAACAGAGAATACGTTTATGGGCTAATTAGTAGGCGCGCAACACTTTTTATGCCAACTTACAACAATAAAAATTAAAAATACATGTTATTGTTGAGACAGTTTTAAACGTTTCTTTCAATTTATCTTTGAACTTAATTTTATTCACGGTAAACATACATTTGGCGTTTGTAAGCATTTTTTTACGTTTAGTATTTGTAGGAGTTATTTGCACGCACGTATTTAAATAATTATTTTGACTGTTTTATCTGAAAATCTTATGTAATTTAGTTTTATAGATCTAATTTTTTAAATATAATTTAAAATATTTTATTAACTATTTAAATAAATATTAAAACTCTTTTCTTTAATTTAAAAGAATGCCTGCCCAAACCTTAACCCTCAGTCGATGTATCTCTATGTATCTTTGCTTTTATTTATTAACCATTAGTAAAACATTAGAAAAAGAAACAAAATATATGACATTTTAACAATTAAAAAAAGCATAAACCTTTTCAAAAAAATTTATATACAAAACATTACAAATATTTATTGATAAAAAAAAATAAAATATTTATAAACATTATTAAATATAAAAACGTTTTATCATTTACAATTACTAGATATTTATACAAAATAACAAAACAAAAAATGTAAAAAAAGTTATATTTGCAAGAAAAAATTTAACTGCATCTGCATCATCAATTAACAATTGGTAGATTAACCAACTATAAAAATTATTATAGATGTAGCGTATTATTTTTCCACCACTCTCCCTCACCTCATATTTTACTTTCAACAGGATCCACAAAGGAGGGTTGAGCTTTTGCCCTAAACTTGGGCCCACACCTTATGAGATGTGGGTTAGGGTCTCTCTATTTGTTCTGGAATATGGTGAAAAGCATTGTAAGATATATCTAAGATAAAATAGAAATTATGATATGATAAAAGTAAAAACATTACATATTAACACTACAAACCAATTTATCTGTTGCTGATGTTTTTTCTGAAGCATTGTTAATAGTCAAAATCTGAAAGAAAAGACGTTCAATGCAAAGACAATTAGCTATTACACAAAATATCAAAAACATAATAGCTATCAGTGCAAAAAAAATGTGCAATTTGAATAAAAAAACAAAACTTTTCTTACCTTAATTGCGACAAACAGGTTTCTTTTTAAACTCTTAGCTAATGATCAACATAGTAAATTTTAAATAATTAAAGTTTACTAAGTTAAAACCATATTTTAACAGTAGACAAAGTTTTTTTATGATAGTTGGTGGAGCACCAAAGT